AGAGCCAGAGCCAGAACCAGAACCAGAACCAACCGTCTCCAACTCAGCAGAGTGCAAGCCCCCCTCAGAAACCCAGCCAGTCTCCGGGACATGGCCTTCCGTCGCCGCTCACGCCACCCAATCCTCTGCAGGTATGCTCCCCGCCCCGCCCCGCCCCGCGAGCCCCGGGGACCTGCCCTCGGGGCTGGCGCCGTCCCCCCACCATTCCCCTGCCATCCCCCCCCGCCCCCGCACCGAGGCCCAGGGCCCGCAAAACTTAGCAGCCCGGGCGGCAGCACCTCATTCAAACTGATCTCTCAGACCCAGGGAGGAGGAAGCGAATAGCAGGCAGCTGGGGATGCATGTAAACGAAACAAATAGAAGCCCATTGATGTTGCCCTCCAATGGATAAATGTTTTCTGTTTCCTCCTGTGAGAGGCCAGCCCTGGAAGTGCACTTGTAGCCTGTAATAATTCCATTTTATGATACTTTCTGAAGGCAGCAAAGATAGCATCCAATTAAAATTATTACTAGCACAGTTTTGTAGCCCCGTGGAGAACTGCATCTCCTGTCCATGAGGCATGGTGGTTATTTCTCTATATTATGAATACAACAGTGTCTTACCTTAAGTACTTTGTGCTCTTTTGTTTCTATTTTTCTAAAGACTCTCTGGGGTTAGGAGGGTAAAGAAATTCAGCCCCAGTCTGTGTCCCAGATTCCAACCATTCCAACCATGGACCAACAAGCACTCTAAAACGATGCACAGAGCCACAACAAATCCGCATCTTTATAAAATAATAAAGCTTCCGTACATTTCCTTTATTACCTTGAGGCTGAGGGAATCAAAAAAATAGATCTTCAGGCTAATTATGAAAGCTGATCTTTACTCTCCCCTCACTCAGGAATACATAACTTTGAAGTTCAGAGAGCTCTTCCTAACTTAGATGCCTTTAAAATAAATTAGCTTCAAAACATAATGACCGCCATGTCAACACCTCAGATCCAGAAATGAATAGCTCAGGTTTTGCCTTACATAAGGCTGGGTTCCCCAGTGAGATGACAGATGATTTAGTACAAAGTGAGCAGCCTAGGCACTCATTTCAAATGCCAACTCAGCCCCCTCCTTGATCCTCGCTGGGGCACGTGCAGCCCTCCCCTACCTGAGGGGAACAGTCGTAATGCATCCTTAGGTCTTCAACAGCAAAGTATGCAAGGTCACGCTGGAATGACACACGGACAGAAAGGCAAATGGATTAGAGACTTAGTATTTTAGAACTCACTTTGTTTGTTGTCCCTTAACTTTGTTCCTGTGAACTTGAATTCTCAGTGGTGGCCCAAAGTTTTCTTGGAAATGAAAGCATTTGAGTGAGATGAGTAATTGCGTTTTCCCTGGCACTTGGGTCATGGCTACTTTCAACGTGAACGTTCTCTTGAGTCGGGTTTGAAGATGTATTTTTAAAAATCTTACCAGTGTGAGACAGCATAATACCTTTGACCGGGACTGACATGAACACATGCTATAAAAATCTTCAGTGGGCATTGACATCTACAGAGAAAATAGGTACGATCAAACTTACAAGATGCAGGATTGTAGCCATCCTAATGTTTTTAGCATTCAGAATTCAACTCTGTTATTCCAAAGAATGAGTTTAATACTTTTTAGGAGCAGTTAAATTAGACAGACCTATACACCATCCTGTTAAACACTTCCTCTACCTGAGCCACCCAAACGGGTGAAATAAAGAAAAAACTTGTCCTGCTCTGAGGGATGAGGTTACTTAGCTCGGTCCTCAGTTGTCTTATAGAGTCCGGTGTTTCTTACAGTGGAGTGAGACTTTGAGCTCTGTGGATATCAGTCTTTTCTGAACACTGTCAACATCTTATAAATCTCTGTTGGCCAGTGAAAGCCAGGTATAGACAACCCATTTGAATGGCTCTTGACAGGACTTGTGGATGAGGTGATCAGTCTGCCCCATGGAAATAAATTCTATTAGGAGAATTTCCAAAAGTTGTCCTAATGGTTTCCTATGAAAGTCCAGGGGATACGTTTTGTGTGGTATTATTTTTGCAAGAAATGAAGGCTTGGAGCCACATTTCATTCCTTATAACCTTGAGAGAATAATACTAATTTTTTGTTTTTGGGGTTTTAACTTAATACTCTAATTTCTTTGGATCTAATGGATGACCACTGAAAGAATGATTCAGTAAAGCTTTTAAAAATGTTACCGAGTAGCTAGAGAACTAATTTTGAATAAATATATATCAGTAGGAATAAAGGGATTTTTTTTTTCCCTTCACGATAGACGTGTAAAATAAATGGAGAATTCCATGGTTTTGAAATACTGTTTTTTTTTTCCTACACTAGTTGAAAGGTTTTTGAGTTTGTGGAACATGAAATGTTTGAACTTTTTAAAAAGAAAACTTTAAAAGGACCTGCAAAGATATTTAACTCTCAAAGGTAATGATCTTTATGAACCAGAATAAGGTGTTTTGTTTGAAGATTATTAAAGGAAACAAAGATCAACTAAATTCATATATGACAGTTTACATTCTATTTTACGATTCTTTATTTTCACGTGGGCTTTGTCCTTCCACATGTTTCAAACTCTGCTTGAGAGAGTTAAGAACAATGCAACTTAGGTTGTCAGGGAAAACCAGTAATTCGGAAGGTTTAAAACAAACAAACAAACAAACAACTTTGAAGGATAATAATTACTTCTACAGTGTGCAGAAGCTGTCATAGCTTCAGAAAAATAAATAAATAAAAGTGGCTTGTGTGGGTCTCACTGGGTGAGGTCATTTCTCGAGATGAAAAAAAAGATGAAGACCACTGGCAGGCCGTATCACTCTAGACTGAAATTCTCCAAATAGTTCTTGTCCGGTTTTTCTCTAAGACTGCAATATAAGTTTTTCACCCTTTTACTCAAGTCCATGAAATTGACTTCATTTACAAAACCCGGTTGCTGCTTCAAGACAGATAGGAGTCTCGAGGATGATCACTTCAGAGAACTAATTTTGATTGCTCAGGGTTATAGGTGAGCGGTTGTCCAGCATGAGCACCAGAAGCTGGCCCCCGGAGGGCTGTCTTTAGAATCTTCATTGAGACTCAAGAGCTACCCACCCACAAACTCATTCTCAGGAGGGATGAGGAGAGAATTTATACTTCTCAGTATAAATAAGAAAAATAGACTTGGATTTACAAAACACATTGGTGGGTTGAATTTAATTCGCAGATTCCAGGATAAATATCAATCCATACTTCATACTTTTGCTCTAACCCACTGGCCACGGGCTGTGCCAGAATCTAAAACTAGAAATACAGAATGTGTTGGGTAGGAGCAGATCAGAAACATAAACAGAAGCAACTTTTGGGGGAGAAAACATAGGGTCTCATTCCTAGATAGAAAAAACAATGTTCCTCTGAAAAACAAACTGAGGGTTCTAGAGGGGAGGGGGATGGGAGGATGGGTTAGCCTGGTGATGGGTATTGAGGAGAGCACATTCTGCATGGAGCACTGGGTGTTATGCACAAACAATGAATCATGGAACACTACATCTAAAACTAATGATGTAATGTATGGGGATTA